CCTAAAACTGAAGCTTCAATTTTCATTTCAAATAATTGTAATGTTCTTTGATAAATCACAAAAGCAACTTCTGATTTAAATGCTTAGGTTGATGAAAATCTACACTTGTCTGAAAACCTGAGAATTTTAATCTTTAAAAATACTGGACCTGACTCTCCTCTCACTCTGGAATAAAACAAATAAAATGAATAATCAGCTCTGCAGGGTTTAGTTTTAACTAATAATCGTTTTTAAACTTACTGTACTGTTATGTTTAAATCATCTCTGCACAGGAAAATTAACTAAGCTATAGTAAAATGATCACAGTGCATTCCACATCTTAATCCCAGAGAAATGAATTAATCCTTTATTTTCTGTTCTAATGGAAATTAATATAAACTTCTAAAAGAATTTTCAAAAAATCTCACCTATTCAGTTTTTAAAGACATTAATGTTCATGAAAAGAGTGCCAACTTGACAGGGTTGAATCCTCTTTCTCTCCAGAAAACTGAAGTAGTGCCAGCAATTCAAGAGCGTCTCTGAACCGCCGTGACAATGTGCCTCAATCCTATTTCAGATGAACCACCCCTAGTGAGGAGAGGGGCATTCACGCCACCTCCCACAATTTATTCCTTAGTCACTCAGATGAGAAAGATAGGAAGTAATGGAGATTTGTGTGATGTGGACATCTGTCATCTAGGAGCTGAACTGAGATGGTCAACACATTTCAGAAAGATCAATGACTAGTTATCACATGGTAGTGACTTTGGCTCCTGTTGCTGGATTCAAGTCAACAATCTAGATGTGAAAGACCCTGTGCTCCATTACCGACTCCCTGAGCTATACTGTTCCTTTTTAAAAAAAAAAAAACTTCAGCTAACATAACCCGATATTAGATTAAGAATAATTTAAGACATGTTTATATACACACAAATGCACACACACACACCTTCATAATTATCTTACACTTCACTCTGTTTAGGCAGCCTTAGCAAAGAAGCTAATGAATTCATGAGTATGAGGCCTGAACCTCCCTCTCACTTTTAGGTGGTTAATCTAAAAATAGATACTATATAATTGTAATTAACAATCAAAGAATGATTTGGGGTCAAAACTGCTAAAGTTAGTTAAAATATTAGCACAACTTATTTGCATTAACTGTACTTAAACACTGAAACTCTTTATGTATTACAGGAGAGTAGATCTGAGGCTCCAACCTTTTTGTAAAATTTCATTCCATGTTCCTTTTAATAAGTAATGTGTATTTTGGTTCTTATACAGGCTAAATTAACCTTATTGGCAGCTGTATGAATAACATTACTCCAGGTAACAATATGAAAAAAAATATTTACAGACACTAACAAATGAAAAGTAAAGAAGGCTCTCTATTATGAGCTGTTGAAGTGACTGTCAAAACTCTCATGGATTTCAGTGGAACCAAAACAGGGGAATGCATTTCCAAAAGCCTCTGTGACTAAGGGCCCAAGTCTCAATTTCAAAGTAACTTAAGCTCTTATTTCTTAAGTCTCATTGAAAGACAATGAGATTTTGGCTTTTAAGTCACTTTGAAAATGAGATGTAGGCATTTTTGAAAATTTTACCCTAGGCCATTTATAACTAAAGCTCCTATTCTGAGAATTGCACTTGTGCGCTCTTACACTGCATGAAGCCCCACTGAAGTCAATGGAACGCCACATGGGCACAGGGGTCTACCACCAAAGAGTAACTTGCAGGAGTGAGGTCAAGGACTTGATGCTGATTCACAAGCTAACATTGTAGTTACTGGCTGTGTTCAAGCAACTAGTTCCTGAATGCTGATCTCCCATACATAAAATCACTGTGAAGAATATAGTGAAACCATCTATTGACAGATTAGTAACAAAAAGCCTGAGTGAAAAACAAGACAGACAGTTTTTTTGTTAGTAAAGTTGTTAATGATCCCACAAAGGCTCAGTTTTTCCTAAGAGATGCAGAGAACACTAAACTCCCAATGAAGAGAGCAAGGGTCAGGACCGCAGAAAGGTAACAAGTTTTGTTTAAGGGGAACAATAACACTGCTTTACAAAAACATTTATACCTGATTAAAATAAAGATCAGCATGCTTACCTAAAATAACTAGCAAACCAATAAACTGATCATGAAGTTAGTACTGGATAAGCAAGAAAAGACAGGTAATTTTTAATTTAAAAATACCGAGGTACAGGTCTGGCCTGAATAAGATCTTTAAATGTTTTCCTTGTTGTTAATCTAGTATAGCCTAAATATAGTTATTGTAGATTCCTTATCAATTCAAAATTAACTTTCTAGATATACATTTTTGGTAAAGAAAATGAATAAGAGACACAAAAAATAATCACTAATGTCAGATATATAAATGATCCAGTTAAGCAATAGGGAAAAATACATAAATGTTCCTCAATGCCTAAAAATCAATCAAAAATCTTGAATACTTTCCTATGATACTAGCATAAAGACTTAAAAACAGAACAAAAAAATTGCTACTTAGTAATAATTGTTGGTTCCTAACAGTTTCCCATAATTCCAGTTGATAGATGCAGTTTTTAGAAAATTATTATGGCAGCATCCTGAAAACCCCAATTAGAGTTAAGGCCTTCTTGCAGTATAGTGCACTATAAGCCACAGAAATAGACTGTCCCTGCTCTGAATGGATTATCATCTAAGGCCTTGGACCTATATTCCACAAGATAAGCCTCAGTGAAATCAGTGATGGTCTGCCAGCAGAGACCTGACTGTAGGATCAGGGCCTAAGAAATCTAAGGTTTCAAACACAGTTCCTCTCTATGGAGAAGAATCTGTCAAGATATTGGGTTAACAAATCAAAACTGGGATTTTAGAAATTTTACTCAATTTTTTATTGAGAAACCAGTTTAAAAAGTCTAATTTACATATTTTTTAACATTAAACCAGTAAAAAAAGTGTTGCCCTATGTAATAAATAACAAATTTTCCATCTGAATATCTGTGTTTGCACAATAAATTGCAGATGGACTTGAAATAACACTCATATTGGGGGCATAATCTTGAACATAGTATAGGTTTCTATGTGCAGATGAAACACATCAACGGTAACTCAGAGTAAGAAAAGAATTATTTACATGATAGCAGGTTGGTATGAAACATGAAAAAATGTTATTCCTGGATAAGCTTTTAGTTGTGCATTTCAAGTGTTGCTTGTAATAAAATAAATAGATAACCACAATTTTCAAGAATGAACTCCTATACATATTTGCTGATCTTTAAAAGAAATATTACTTTACAAATTTGATTTTTTAAATTATTCTGAATACAGCAAGTTGTTTTGTCTTCACAAGCGAAATAGAAAACTAAAAGCAAGACAATTCTACAGAACTATAGTAACATTTGCTACTCCAATCTCTTCTAACAATATTTGTCAAGTATCCTTCTAAATTTATTTTCCTACAATCCTTTCCAACCTGATCAAATTGTTGTTTTCATATTGCCAGCTTGATCATGAAATTGCTGCTTTACACAAAATATTTTTTGCTGATGCAAATTATGAGATCAGAGATACTAAAGCATTTACAAGTGAAGGCTTTTTTGTGTATTCCTCTTCAAATACAGGATAAAGATGCATATATCAAGCTGAATCCCATTTTGCTGAGATGCCCCACTGAAATGCACAGTCCCTGGCCTACCTCACAGTTCAGAAATACCTTGCATTATTTACTAAATTAATAGCACATAGTTCTCTTTTTTAAAGACAGTTACATGAAAAACAAACACAAATTATTCGCAGATAACAGTGTTTTTTAAAACAAGTGTCCTTCTTGTAAAAGAGATGACATTGAAATATAAAACCAGTTTATCATTAACTCCTAAACTCTTTCTTCTGGATTCTTATGACTCTAAAAGGACTTTTCTGATGTTGTTCTGAAAATATATTCAGAAGTTTTATTGTCATTCTAAATTGTACAAAACTCAGATTTTTTTGACATGTGAATCTTACATTAATAAAGAAACTGGTTAGTTAAAACTGAAAGTGGTACCTAAGCCAGACAACTATTTAGTGCAGCACAAATACTGCTGGACAGGTTTGGCCTTCCTATCAGAAAACCATGAAAAAAATTTAACATAAAAATTTTAACAAGAGCTAACTGTTTATTCTAACTAAGTATTGAGGTGATTTATTCCACAGGCCCTGATCTTGCTAATATTTACATATTAGAGTAGTTCCATATTGGGACTACTCAGATGCTTAAAGTTAAGCAAGTACATAAATCTTTGTAGGATCAGGGCCTTAATGATTATGTAACTAAGTTTATTTATTCAGATTGTTAACAATAGCAACATGCAACTACACAAAACAAAGACAGATGATAAATTCCAAAGTGTTTCCAGCTCCATATTATTCTTTTTGTCTTTTGAATTTCCTATTTTGACATAGGAAATACAAGCACTTTTGAAAGAAATCATAAATAAAACAAACCGTGGCCCAAACACCTTTTAATACTTCACCTACTTCTCTACACAGAAAAACTATTTATTAAAAAGACAACTACCAGTGAAAACCAAAAGACAAATACTGCTCCCAGAAACAGCAAATTCCCAAATAAGAAACAATTCTAAAAAGAGGGGGATATTGGAACACACTTGAGAGTACCACTAGCAACGCTTGATCATCATCTACTCCATGACATTTGCTCATACACTGAAAAATAAATAAAACTGAGGCAGGACACAGAGAAAGGTTTCCACTTCCTCAAAGAGTGAGTAAAAAGTGACAGATAAGAACACTATAATATCTTCTTCCCAAAGAGGGGCAGGAAGGTTAGAGTAAGACACAAAACTGAAGTGTTTCATTTGGAGCAGGAAAAATAAGCCACTTTGCCAAACCAGTAAACAATCAAACTATCATCAAAGCTAAAAGATGGATCCAGAAAACAAACACCTTCCCAACCCCCAGCCCCCAAATCTGCCTGACCTAGAGTGAGAGGCAGAGCTGGGAGGAGGTATTGCTTCCCCACACACAAACACACTTACCTTGGCTGCACCCCACTTTTATTCCCTTCCCTGGAGCAGTGGAGAAAGAGACACACACAAAGGGTAATAAAGGGGGAGGAGGGGAGAGCAGGGGGTGGGGGAGCTGGTGAACTGGCTGCTGCTCCTGTGTGTGTGTGTGTGTGGTGAGGTGTCTCCAGCCAGGGCCAAGCAGCATTAGCAGAGAGAGAAGGGGCTGTGTTGCTAAGAGGCTTTTGGTCTCTTTCTCTCTCCTCTGACGGCCAAGGGGGGGAAGAAACTCTCCTTCTCTCCCTGTGTCTCCCTGGGATCCTCTAGCTGGGCTGGGCTGGGGGGGAGAAACTCAGGCTCCTCACACCAACCCCCTCCCCCTCCACACACACCAATTCAAGATGGAATTAGTGCTCTGTCCCTTTAACAATATAAATAAAAGGTCCCCCAGTCTCCCCCTCTCTCTTCATCATCAGCTGCTGCTGCTACTGCTGCTGAAGCTCTGGCTCTGCTTGGGAGAAAGATGGGAGGCTGAGACTGCGCAGGCGCCCGAAGAGGGCTCGGTGGGTTGAAGGGGGGGGAGGGAAAGAGGTTGCTCTCCACAATGCACCGCGCGGCTGGCGAACCCGGAAAGAGATGCCGTCGAGGGAAAGGAAGTTGCGGGAGGGGGAGGGAAGTGGAGCGGAAGTGAGTGAGTGAGTGGGCGTAAAAGGGGCAGAGTTGAGGCGAGTCAAGAGCGGGTGGGGGGAAGGGAGGAGGGGTGGTGTCGTCATCGCCATGTGACCAGGAGCGATGTGCGCGCGGGGTGCCGGGAAGGTTTCTGAGGCGCTAGCGGGCGAAGAGGAGGGTTACTCCGTTGGAGTCCGAACCACGCGCTGAGGCGGGAGGGAGCCGACCTAGGTAAGGGTTCCGCGGGACCGGGGCTACGGGGGTGGGAAGGCGATGGAGGGCGGTGACATGACCTGGCAGGGGAGAGCGGGCAGGCGGACGAGAGCCCTGACCTGGTGCGGGCGGAGGGCGGCGGGGTCCCCTGGGGGCAGCCTCCCCCTAGCCGCGCTGTGTTCCCGGAACCCAGGGGGTGGCTGTGCCCCGTCCCCAGTTCGTTGGGACCAGGTGTCATAAGGCGGGAAGGCCGCTTGCCGGTGCCCTGCTCCGGGGCGCTGGGGGCCCTTCGGCAGCGCGAGGGGGGGGATGATGCTCATGGAGGCTCGGAGTTGAGGTCCAAGGAGGCGCGCCAGCGAGGCGTCGTGGGACTCCTGCAGGCACCGCTGAAAGGCACCGGGCGAGTCTTCACTGCCTAGACCGCAAGCGCTTCCTGCCTAGTGAGCCCGGCGCTGGTCCGGGTGGCCGTGCTGGGTCTTGAGAGCAACTCCGGGTTACCTGCTCTGGCATGTTGAAAAAAACCTGAGTCTCCGGAGTTCGTCCCCAGTGACCTCCTAGCAGAGCCGCGTTGGTGTCTGCTGTGTGTCCACGTCCAGAGCGCTTTCCATGGAAACTCTCTTGTTCCGTGCTTACAGATGCTAACAGATGCCTTCTGTGTCGCAATGTGATGTATAGGGAATTTTTGGAAGAAAGCTTAGACTTTAACTCGGACTTCATGGAGCTTAATTCTGCTCCTGGGCATTTACTTGTGCTGGTCAAAGGCACGTTGTTGTAAGCAATGTAGTTGCTGCTTAAGTGTTTGGGACTTTGCTGTATTTCTACTTTTTTGTAAAGGAACTAAAGCTGAGTCACACTAGGCTCTTTAACATTACAACTAATTTTGTTTCTTAAGCACTGAAGATGAAAGCTCTTGTAATTTTACAATTGAAGGATTACAGTAGCTCAAATTTGTGAATTAATTTTATTTACAAAGGTGGTTATAACTGTCTTGTCTTGAACATAAATAACTGCCCTTAAAAATTGGTTCATGTATGTTTGTGTGAGTTAATGTGATCAACAAGGGCAGAATTTGAGTGTAAAAAAGGTGGGGGCACTTTTCTAAACTTCACCCATGTGGATCACCAGAATAAGAAGCCATAATCACTGTGGATTGTGCATCCTATGAGAGCTCTACTGGACTCTTTGAGCTAGGCTCCCCTTTTGTCAGTCTTCAGCCATGCCTACACTACCACTAAGCTAGTTTTAGGCTTTGTCTACACTAGCACTTTTGTCGGTATAACTTATGTTGCTCATGAGTGTGAAAAAACACACACACCCCACCTCTCCAGTACATAAGTTACACCAACAGAAACGCCGGAGTGTACAGAGCGTCTCCCTTTGACATAACTACTGCCACTCATGGAGGTGGTTTTATTATGTCGAGTGGATCTTGTAGTGTCACTGCTGTAAGCTCGCTAGTGTAGATGTGGCCTTTAACTATGCTGATGGACTCAACTAAACTTTCTTTAATTGCATTTGGTTCTTTAATGGGATTAAAGTAATCGAGGGTCCTCTCTCAAATGCCAACCACTTATGGCACCAAAATGAGTCATTACAGATCTGTAAAACTCCCTCTCCTTTCTTATGACAAAGGAAATTGTAACACCTTAATGAAAGGAAGAGGGTAGGACAGGTCGCATATTTTAGAGCTACTGTTTGAGTCACATAGGACAGGTCTTCACTGCACTGTTAACCTGGGTGATTGGCATGATGGTTAGTTCAGTCCGTTTGTGAGCATCCCCATAGCAAATCACTACCTGTGATATGTCCTCATTGCTTCTGCACTTGTCAGTGTACATCTGGGATCAGACCCCATGCTTCTTTGTGCTGAGATGCTCTAGGATTCTTTCCCTGTCAATTGTACAACTTGCCTGACCCTCGTGAGGAACTGCAGGATGTGCATGGGAGGACTGTCAGCAGAGTGACTTTGACTTTTACCTGCTTCCTCATTGCAAAGTTGCATGTTTCAGCCAAACCTGGGATACAGACCTTGGCACCCAGCCATGTAAGCTAGCTCAGGCTTAAAGCCCCTCCGAAGCCTGGACAGATGGTTTTCTGGGTGGATGGCAGGGCTAAAACCCAGGGTTAGCTGTCCACTGAAGACTACCCATAGACATATTTGCTGGTTTCTTGGCTCACATTTTGAGACATTCTATGCAGCCATAACAGTTAGTTTTTAGTGAAAGCTGAAATTCTGTAGAGCATGATAGTAGCTTCAGAAAAATGTCAGTAAGGCCGTATTGGCATTACTCTGGTGGGGAAGCAAAAGGCAGCCAGAAGTGCAGTCATGCGACTGTCCCCATCAGTATGTTTTGGGTGTCAAGGGCAGCTGGCAGAGAGGTAAATCACTGTGGGGTAGGAGGCGGGACTGGGGAAGACCCGCTGGTGGCTCTTACCTTGCACTGGGCTTAGCTGCTGGTCCCGGCTGGGTTGGGGAGGATGGGATTTTCTCTTCCCCTGCATGGCATCTGGGGCTGGGTCAGACACACCCCAGATTTCTTCCCTGGCTGCAGGAATCTCTGCAAATTCCCCCCTGACCTCTGTACAGGGGACTGCTCCCCCATCTGCCCCACCCCCATGCATCCAGACCCCCTCATATCCAGATCCTCCTGCCAAGCCTCAGCCCCCATCCTCACTCAGAACCCCCACTCCCTTTGCATCTAGACCATCCCAATGAGCTATCCCCACCCCACCGAGCCCCAACCAGCTGCACATGGATCGCCACGCCACAGAGCCCCACTCCCTGAGCATCTGGACCCCCCCACTGAGCTCCCCACACTTCCCTGCTGAGCTCTATCCCCCATACCCAGACTTCCCTGCCTGGAGCCCTACCACCTTCACCTGGACCCCTATGCAGAGTCCCATTCCCGTTGCACCCAGAACCTTCCCCCCCCCCTCAACAAAACCCTGTGCATCCTGATCTCCCCCCCGCCCCCCCTTGCAGCCAGATTCCCCACTGAGCTGCTCACACCCAGATTGCCCCACACAACCCTCTCAACCCACACCTGGGTCCCCCACACTAAGCCCCTCCACGCTTGGATCCTGCCTTGCTGAGCCTGGCTGCCCACATGGAGGGTCAGGGACCTAGGATGTTTCTGTGGCAGGCCCAGTCCTTGCAATGTGTCAAGATTGGGTGTAGCCTCACCACTGAGTCCATGTCCTGGAGGCAGCTGATCTACCACTGTGCAGCCAGTGGCCTGTGCTCCCCAATGCCATGCTAGAGCCTCCATGTTAATTTGACAAATACAATTTGCAGAATTTTTAACTTTTTGGTTCAGAATGCCCTCAGGAGTAGAGCATGTAGTAGCTGTTTCTGAGGCCTGGAGATGAACTGAATTTGCACACTATTGATTATAGCAGGGGTTGGCAACCTCTGGCACGCGGCTCACCAGGATAAGCACCCTGGCGGGCCGAGCCAGTTTATTTACCTGCTGACGTGGCAGGTTCGGCCGATCGTGGCCCCCACTGGCCGCCGTTCGCTGCCCTGGGCTAATGGGGGGCGGCGGGACGTGGTGCAGGCAAGGGAAGTGCTGGCCGCGGCTTCCCGCCGCCCCCATTGGCCCGGGACAGCGAACCGCGGCCAGTGGGGGCCATGATCGGCCGAACCTGCCACGATCAGCAGGTAATAAACTGGCCTGGCCCACCAGGTGCTACCCTGGCGAGCCACGTGCCAAACATTGCTACCCCCTGGATTATAGGTACCATTAAGGGAAGTTAGACCTTGTCTACACTACAGACTTCTGCCGGTACAGCTATGTTATAGTGTAGATTCAGCTGCACTGGTAAAACTGTTTTTACTGGTACAGAGTGTGGTTTGCCGTTTTGGCTGCATCCACAGTAGGTACTGTAGCAGAGTGCTGGTGCAAAAGCACCTAATTAGCCTCTGCCCAGTTAGCTCCAATCAGGGGGAACAGATTGGGGCTGATGGAAAAGGCCTGATGCTGGCCTGAGGATTGGCAACATCTGCTGGCCTGACAAGCCAAGGACTGTAAAGGCTGGGAGGGAGCCAGAAGGGGGGGCAGCCAGGGAGAAGTTAGTTAGTCAGGGAGGGAACTGGAGGCCTCCTAGCTGAAGGCTGCCTCTGCCTCTGACTAATCCTGCAAGACTTCTATATAGATCAGGGGTCTCAAACATGCGGGCCGCATGCGGCCTGCAGGGCTCTTCCCTGCGGCCTACCAAGCTCCCTCTTCCCCCCCGCCCAGTTACTTCCTGTCGCCACCAAACTCCCCTCCTGAGTTATTTTATGTGGCAGCTAAGCTCCCTGGGTGCTGCTCCCCAATGTTTGGGGCTGGGTCTCTTCCCCTGGCCCCACCTGCTGCCCCCACGTGCCTTCTCAGAGTGTCCCCCAGCCTCGCTTGCTGCCCTCTCACCACTCGGAGCCTGCAGCTCAGGCTGACTCCACTCTATTCTGCTGGCTTCCAGCATCACCTGCTGCCGCAGGGTCCTAGTTGCCCCCCTCCACTTTGGCCAGGGCACTGCCCTAGTCCTGAGCCTCTCCAGTGCCCCAAACCCCTCATCCCCAGCCCCACAACACTCACCCCTGCACCCCCTCCTATCCCCAAACTTCCTCCCAGAGCCTGCACCCCTCCACCCATCCTGCACCCCCCAGCCTGTGCCCCAGCCCGGAGCCTGCACCCAGCCCCCAAACTCGATCCCAGAGTATGCGGCCCTCGGGCCAATGCACTAGTCCTCATGTGGCCTTAGTGGTCATTTTGAGTTTGAGACCCCTGATATAGACACTGGTGGTGGGAGAACCTGGTATAAATAAAGACACAGGTGTTTCACAACCCTGAAGCCTCTCTGAGTCTTATTGGGGGCAGAAAGCAGGCCCCCAGAAGAGGGGTGGGATGTGGATCCCTGTTACAATACACTTTGATGGTACAGTATACCATTATTTCTATACTGAAAAAGCTCTCCTAGTGTGGACATAGCTTTAGCTACAGTGGAGGTAATTTGAAACTTTTTGACTAGTAGTTTCT